CCTATACATTACATTTAATATACATTTTTGTTTTATTTATTTTGGTGTTTTTGACTGACTACGTAGTTATATTTAATTCAACTATAATTTTTTCTAGTTTCAAGAAAAGTCAAACAAAAAAGTTGTGAGTCTTATTAAAAAAACAGAATTATGATACATCCATTATTTCGGGAGATATTGCGTAGCGTAAATCCTAACAGGACACTGTACCTACAAAAACTGTGAATTTTGTATACTGCACGTTGTTATACGTATACAATAATTTAAATTTGTAAGCTAAAGAAGACTGCTCATAGTTTATTTTCTCATCAATTCAATATAATATCTACAATTAAAAACGTTACCCAAATATAACCGTATAACCATGAATAGATTCAGAGCAAGAATCTGGGTGATTAGTATTCGTATTTACACAACACAATATTTATTTTAAATATTATATAACATAAGAATAACACAACACCTCCACTCTCACTTGTATTGTTAAAATATAATTTAAATATGGTGTATTAAAAGTATCAATACATTCCTCTTATTTTTATACATTATTTTTTAAAATATTGTATTAAATGAATAAATACATATTTGTACTTATATTTGTTATATTTATTTAATCGAGTATCCCTTAAGGTACCTATAATTAAATTATATTAAATATTTTTTTTTTTAAATGTATTATTCTGTTTTTGTGAGGTGTAACTGTGTTAGTTGGGAGTGGAGAAAGCCTATTGATATCCAGCTCTGCTCATAATATTAGTAAAAAAACTTTCAAAAATGTACACTAACGCTGTAATACTAAAAAATCATTTGGAATTTGCCAATATGTTATATTTATAAGTGCATGCAAAACAAAGATAGTTGCAGATGCGTATTAGCACGTTACGTCCTTCTAAAAAACGGGCGTACCTACTACCTATCTATAAAAATCTGATTACACTCGAGGCGGATTACATACTCCCAAACACCAATAGTGAAGACCACCGTAGAGGCACGCCCAACTTATACATGAGTTACACGTTATTAAATAATTTTCATTTCTCAGTTTATATTTAAAAAAAGATTTACAATGTGTTCAGATTTTATTAAATTGTAAATTTATATTTTTAACTGTCTAAAAAAAATTAGGCCAAAAGTCAGTTCTTACCTAAACGTTTTTAGATTTCGAGCGGAGTGATGTGAGTATTGATTTTACTACTATGTGCTTTTTTAGGAGAAAAAATACTTCAACATTTTTTCTGACAGGAGAGTGAATATAGTTGGTACTTTGAAAGGTCAACATTTTCCATTACCTACTTTTCTTAATAATTTTGAAAAACTAAAAAAAAACCTAAAAAATAATAACCTGAAAAAACTTTGGACAAACATTAAAATTTTTAAAACTTTGACGTTTTGAATTTAATGTAGATAGGTACCTATTTATAATATTGGATTTACCTTAGTACACAATAAAATGTTATGATATTAAATAATATAATTAAAATCAAAACGGAATACAAAATAATTTATTCCAAGCATATATTAAAACAATTTTAAGATATGCACATTTTATTTATTTCATTTATACTTATTGACATATAATTATATATTAGAATTGTGGATATTTTGAAATAAGATACAATATATGTAATAAAAATGTCTCCTCGATATAGGCATCGATTAAATTATTAGTTATTATTATTAATCATTAGTCGCGTTAGTCATAAGTAATGACTCATAGTTTTTAAATTATATGCATATATTTTATTATATTAATGATTATTTAAGTATAATATAAGTTTAGGTATCATACATAGTATTTTCTGAATACTATCATTGCGGTATTATTTATTCATGGAATATCCTAATACTTTAAAAATTAGTTATATCTTGGGCTCGGAAGTTGTAGGAATTTTATATTGCTGTATGCTCTCAATTTATAGCAGACCCAGCAAGAAATTTGAAGTATACAATGGCGAGTTAAATAATTGAAAATTAAATATGCATATTTTGCATATTTTGCCAATTTTAGCTAAAAAAAAGTGCATATTTTATTGATTTTATAAGCATATTATACATATTTCATGTTTTTCTAAAAAAAATTGATTTTTTCTTTCTTAAACTGTGTATTTAAATTTAAATTAAATATAAAACACAACATTTTTAACAAAGGTATATATTATCATCCCCATAGTCAGTTACAAAGTTAATAACACCGATATAAAATGCATTTAGTCTATAACACTAGCATGCCGAAATACTTATTTGTAGTAGGTACTATCTTATCGTCGATAAGTTATCGTTGAACTGACGTTGAAAGAAGTTTTTCTCGATATAAAAATCTTCTATTGGATAATCGTTTTTTGTTTGAAATAGAAAATCTCAAGAAAGTATTGGTGGTTCAATGCAATAACTTAACAGGTATTTAGAAAACATGTATTTTTTTCGTAATTTAAAAATACTGAAAAAATATTTTTTATTTTATTTTCAATTCAATAATATGTCAAAATGACAACCAGATATAGTTTTTTAAGTTATAAATAGTTCTTATGTAAATATTATTAATTTATTAGCAACATCTGATGTATTTTATTTTTGGAATTTAGAATAATTTTTTTTGCATATATAACATTTTTAATGCATATTTTGCAATTTTTTCTTGCATATTTTGCTTTTTTAGCTCCTACAACTTCCGAGCCCTAGTTATATCGATTCGTTTAATCATATTTCGTATTTCGTATTCGTATGTTATTGAAACACGTTTTAAGTTAAGGAAGAGTCGTGTATGATGTTACAAAAAAAAGAGATTTAGGAGTCATCGATATCCGAGGGTTTCCTTATTATAGTGGTTTGCAACATATGTAAGTAACTATAGTATTATTGTGAACATAACTGCAATTGCCGTGGACAGTCAAATTCATAGCTCGTAACCGTTTTGATTTTTATGGTACAAGTACCAGCTAAGGTTAACAATTTTTTTTAAATTTCTGATTTTGGTATTGTCAGAAAAATTGCTTAGATCGTTTCAGATTTAATGAAAATGTTAGTCTAGCTTAAGTTTAGGTAGTTCAGAGTTATATATATAATATATCATGTGTATATTCCGACGCTGATTTTCACATTTAAAACCGATCTTGTACTCTAAACTACCTGAACTTAAGCTAGACTAACGTCTGACAAAAATCTAGGTAATATTTGAATGCATAAACAAGATTGCTTAGCATCGGTCGGAGCACTTTTTTTAATTTCATCAAATTCTTGACGGGAATAAACATTCTAAATTTTATCAATTTTTAAATTGATTATATATTAATATATTAAAAAAGGTTAAAACATATTGAATGCGTTCTCCGACCGATACAAAGTTAACTTCTTTATCGAGTTAAAAACATTCAAATTTTTATATTGAAGCACTAGAAATAGTGAAATACCTTAATTTTTGACAGTTATTAAGGTTGTTTTGGGGAAAAATTGTTAGGTTTTGGGCGGCACCCGTTTCGCCCATACTCAACCTTTCCCGTTTCGCCCAGATACCCGTTTCGACCAGTCATTTTAGTCGTTTCCAAATTAAGTTGGCAATGATTTTTAAATATATTTTCAGTAGCTTTTCGTTAACATGAAACACTTACTATTTGACGATTTAATTCTGTATCACTACAAGAATTATGATTATGTCGAAGATGGTCAGTGTTTAAAATATCCTCTTCATTCACCACCTTAGATTTGGATGTGTATAATGTAGCTGAACATGTACGTTTCACGCATCGCCAACGAATTTCATCAGTTCTTGAATTTTTTGAAGCGAAATTGTTTTTATATTTATTAAAAACCACCATGTCTTTATACTTTTCATAAACATTGCCATCATTAAATATTGATTTATGTAAATATTTAAAATTAAAACTGTCTACAACTCGAAGCTCGATAACTAGCGACTGCTAACTTATACTCATGTAGGTAACTCTTATATTAATATGGAAAGTCCTTTAGTCGACTAACATGTCATTAATTTGATAGTGATATAAAAAGGTGCGTATAATGTGTTATCGGAAGACAGGATATGTGAGCGCGATAACTACGAGTCTAATATAATAGTCTAGTATAATAAATATTGAATTTCATACCATCGTGGTTTTCCCTGGATATAGATAAATGAAACTGACGCAAGCATGGTATAGGAACGTTAAAAAATATGGTTTAGCAACTGAATATCAAAAAAATACGAGTATAGGTCAATGGATTCAACATACTTTTGGCTTAATATTTTTAGAACCAATTTTTAGTAGACAATAATATTTGTATAAATGTATAATATTGAGTATGTATTGTTTTTAAACTTTGGCAATGACTACAAAAAAAAAAAAACTGGTAATTTGTATTATAATTTTTTTTTTTAAAATAGTTAATTATAATACTTAATATTATATGGTATACTAAAATACTATATTATTTAAAAATCATTGCCAACTTAATTTGAAAACGACTAAAATGACTTTGGTCGAAACGGGTATCTGGGCGGAACCTGAAAGGTTGTTTTTGGGCGAAACGGGCCGCGCCCAGAGTTTTTAGGGAGCTTAATGTTTTCATATACCACTTAAACGAATACTTATCGCAATTTATTTTCAAGAAATATAATACAAATGTAATTGTTAAAAATATAGATAGAACTATACAATGATGATCATAATTGTATTGAGCCCCCTCCTGAAGTAGCCTTTAATGAACTCCCTTCTTATTGCTCAACTCCTACTTTGGTGTCGTTAGATTATTTTGATTCCTCTTCGATAACGTAATCACAGTCTCCGTGCACACGCACAACCATGAGCAGCAGTTGAAATGTGACGTCGACACATCACTAACAGACACAGTCACTGTTTATTTCACAGTGAACCAAGTATCTCGTCTAATTAGTGCTTATTTAAAATATTTTCTCAAGTTCGTTTAAACAGTATTTTCGGTTGTTTCCAAAAAAAATCATCGATATTCGGTTTGGTTGAATATTTTGGCCATCAGCAGCTAGCAACATGATCGACATTTTTAGTTCCGTTAAAGGTCTGGTAAAGTTGGACACGGTGTGCATCGACAACAACATATTCCGTCTTCACTACAAAGTAACCGTCATCGTGCTGGTCATATTCTCATTAATCGTCACCACCCGACAGTACGTTGGTGACCCGATAGACTGCTTAGTAAACGGTGTGCCTACTCACATAATGGATTCATTTTGTTGGATACACTCGACGTTCACCGTGGACAAAAAAGTCAGAGGCCGAATCGGCAAAGACATCGTGCAACCTGGAGTCGGGCCCTACCGGGAAGGCGAAGACGCGGTCAGTTACCACAAGTATTACCAGTGGGTGTGTTTTGTCCTGTTCTTTCAAGCTGTGTGCTTCTACATACCTAGGTACTTGTGGAAGATATTAGAAGGTGGCCGGATACGGGTGCTGGTTAACGAGCTCAAAGTCGTTATGGCCGACAGAGAACAAAAATCCAATAGTATACGTCAGCTTGTAGATTACTTCGTCGTCAATTTGCACACGCACAACTTATACGCCATGTGGTTTTTTATTTGTGAACTGCTGAACTTTGTCAATGTCGTTTCTCAAATGCTGTTCCTCAACTACTTCTTCGAAGGTGAGTTTAGAACGTACGGTCTTGATGTTTTCCGGTTCACCATCATGGATCCCAGGGAACGAGGGGATCCCATGTCCCGGATATTCCCCAAAGTCACCAAGTGCACATTTGAAAAATACGGTACATCCGGTTCCATTCAGAAATTAGATGGATTATGCTTATTACCATTGAACGTAGTCAACGAAAAAATCTACGTATTCCTGTGGTTCTGGTTTTTGTTCATTGCTATGCTGAGTAGTTTCAACTTGGTGTACCGTACAGCTGTCTTGATATCGTCCAAGTTGCGATTGTTGTTGTTGAAAAAGAAATCTCGTCTATCTCCTTGGAATGAATTGATTACGATAAACGAAAAATTCGAGATTGGCGATTGGTTTGTTTTACACCAGATAGGCAAGAACTGCGAGTCTACGATATTCAAGGAACTTGTATCAGATTTAGCTCACAACTTTAACGACTTTATAACGGATGTGTAGGTACATTTGATAATATGTCAAATGCATAATATAAACATAATTAAATTTAATGAAACTATTATCTAGAAAAAACTTAGTTCATACAATAAAATGATAAATAATTTAAACGATACCGAATTTCGAAATTGTCTCAATTCATATTTTTAATATATGTATATATTATTGTTTGCCAATATTAAAATTAAAAAAAAAATCATATGAACTATATTAAAAACATTATATTGTACCTAATATTTATTCTTAAAATTAGTTAATTCATATTCTATATTATTTTTTGACATTGTATTTCATTGAGTATAAAATTTAAAAAATATATTAAAAATTTAAATGTGTGTATTTTCTGTCTTATAAAATAAAATAATTTAATTGTATTACTTTTGGTGTATTCTAATTTCTATAAACTATAATATCATTGTAACTAGAATTTAATAATTATAGAGTTCTGGAAAATCGAAGTTCAAAATGAGCCATAAATTCAAAAGTTACTTTTTCGTCGTTAAAAAATAATTTAAATTGCAAACAAACAATATAATAAATTAATAACTTATACTTAGTATATATTTGTGAGCACCTATGGCAGTGGTGTATTTTCTATGTTTTTTGGGAGGGTGTCCAGATAATATAGGTATATACTTATTTGTTAATTGGTTGCAATATTTCTCTGTTTTACATATACTACCACTAAGTTCATAATATAATCTTCAAATATTGTAATGAAACATTTTTTATTTATTTAATTAAAAGTAGTAATTTTTATGTAACTTAAATCATACATGTATAAAATACATACTGTAAACATAATTTTAATTTAAAAACAAAAATAAAAGCAAATTATTATTTTTGAAATAGAAAATAGAAAATAATAAATAAACTTTAAAGTATTATATAAATTAATTTAAATAATAAATTCAAGACTAAAAATATGATAATATTACTATTTCAATGTGTTTCTGCCTTGTTTCTTCGATGACGATTAAATGAAAAATGATTCAAATTCAATTGATTAAAAATAATATGTTTTAAAATAAATGCACATGGATATTTAAGATCCAACGTATTAATATATTTAAAAAAAAAAATATCATTGTGATATATTAATATCTAAATAAACACAATACAATTTCCGGCTGGAAAAACAAATAACACAGACACATGAAAGCACGGAGCCGTAAGAAAAAAATATAAATTGCATGTATACTGTAATAGGATAATAATAATGAGGGCTCGGATGTTGTAGGAGCTAAAAAAGCAAAATATGCAAGAAAAAATTGCAAAATATGCATTAAAAATGTTATATATGCAAAAAAAATTATTCTAAATTCCAAAAATAAAATACATCAGATGTTGCTAATAAATTAATAATATTTACATAAGAACTATTTATAACTTAAAAAACTATATCTGGTTGTCATTTTGACATATTATTGAATTGAAAATAAAATAAAAAATATTTTTTCAGTATTTTTAAATTACGAAAAAAATACATGTTTTCTAAATACCTGTTAAGTTATTGCATTGAACCACCAATACTTTCTTGAGATTTTCTATTTCAAACAAAAAACGATTATCCAATAGAAGATTTTTATATCGAGAAAAACTTCTTTCAACGTCAGTTCAACGATAACTTATCGACGATAAGATAGTACCTACTACAAATAAGTATTTCGGCATGCTAGTGTTATAGACTAAATGCATTTTATATCGGTGTTATTAACTTTGTAACTGACTATGGGGATGATAATATATACCTTTGTTAAAAATGTTGTGTTTTATATTTAATTTAAATTTAAATACACAGTTTAAGAAAGAAAAAATCAATTTTTTTTAGAAAAACATGAAATATGTATAATATGCTTATAAAATCAATAAAATATGCACTTTTTTTTAGCTAAAATTGGCAAAATATGCAAAATATGCATATTTAATTTTCAATTATTTAACTCGCCATTGTATACTTCAAATTTCTTGCTGGGTCTGCTATAAATTGAGAGCATACAGAGCCATATGCGATTTCTACAACTTATTCCGAGTCCTAATAACATAATATTATTTAAACATATTAATATACATTAGTACCTATGTATTTATCATCATCGGTCACAATAATTTAATAATTATTACTATATATTTTGTTTGCTACATTCGATATCAGTGGTGCTATAAGAAGAACAGTTTTATAAATAATTAAAAATATAATAGGATAATAAGTACATTATTTAAAACGAAATTTGTTTTCATTCCGAATTAGTGTAGGACTTTATATAATATTAAAATAGTTCATAACGAACGACATATTTTTGTTTGCCTAATTCCCTTTAAACTTTATCAAAATTAAAGATTGAATTTTTTTTTACTTTGGGGGGTGTCCAGACACCGTGGACATCCCCCCCCCACCAGAAAAAAATAAATACGCCACTGACATATGGTCTGTACTCTGTATTTAAAATGAATTCCTACTTTTAAATGCCATCATCATCAATGATAATATATTATTAATCTTATTCCATGCATGATTAGTTTTACTTAATTTTATTACTATACCCACTTGGTAAATCACAGAAACTATAAAGTGACATTCTTTTATAAGAAAAAAACATATTTTAAAATTGTCGAATGTCCGTGGGTCACTACGATTGTTTCAGCAAAAACTAGAACAACTAATACTTATAATGTTATAACCATTGATGTACAACCAAAATATTAATATAGCTAATAAATCATTATGTCTATGTAAACAACACATTAGTAATATCACCATTTTACAAATTTTTTGGAGAGTAAAAATTATTTAATTTGATCTTAACTTTTTATATATATTTGTTTTGATCACATTAGGTTATGTTTGACTACCCAATAGAAATAAAAATCTCCTTTTTTAAATTTAAATTTATCTAGGACTTAGTTGGTTGAATACCTATTTTTTTTTTAGTTTTCGTAGAATTAGAGTATACTCACCATCTGATACTGTATGACACCATTGGACATTAAAAAAAAAGGCAATTGGCACTAGGCTACTGCACTGATATATTTAGTGGAAATAATACATTTTTTGTGTAAGCAGAAATATACAGTTAGGTGATTTTATTATATTAGGTATCTAGTATATATGGTATATGAATGGTGAGTCAATAATGCAAATCATTATAACATACGTAATTTGATCGTTCAAAGCACGTAAGCTGAATGAAGTATGAAAAAAATAAGTAGGTAGATTAAGTAAGTAATATGTTCACTTTTACTCTGTACAGATTGAAGATTTTTCTGTTTAATAAAAAAAGGATACCTATAATGTTCACATAATAATCACAGATTATGCAAATGTTGATTTAAAAAATATATAAATTTAGTTCACTTTAAACAAATAAAGCTTTAAAATATATTTAATAATAAAATGGTGAGCAAATGAATATCGCTGTTCTTTACAGAAAATGCAGTCGAACACTCAGTAGAACACTATTCACTGCATACATTACAAATTATCAATATTATAATCAATGTGATACATCATACATTTGAGATCAATGATTAATCATTGCAAACGAAAAACCGTTCTAAATACGGTCAGCTAAGTAGGTATATTAAATATTTTTATGATATTTTTTTATTCTTACTTTAATCGTTTAGGTGTTTTACTATAGTCTAAAGTAATACGATTGTTTAAACTAATTGTTTTTTTAGAAAACATTTCATTTCCTATATTATTAATATCCAATTAGTGTATACAATTTGTATCCTATATAGTGTTATTAACATATTTAAGTCAATCCCGACATACCGTAGAACACTGTGAATGTACATAAAATATTAAAAATATCATGAAAAAAGTTAAGTTAAAAAATTAATGTTAATATTTAACTTTTTGATTAATTTATACCCAGATTAGAAAATACGTAACCACAATTTTTCGTTAACACGTAAAGTTCAAATTTGGACGAAATTTAATATTTAAACAAAGAATTACAATTTTAATTATTTTATTTTAAATTAAAAATATTTGTCAAGGGGATGTGAAACTAGTAGTTGAATTATTAAATATTATATAAAATATTACACATTATACACATTGGTATTTACAAAATATTTAGATAAATTGTATACTTGTTTTTATATCGCATATTTTATAATTAATACCGTATTACTGTATTACTAATAGTAAAATTAATTACTATAATTATTATTAATAGCAATATTTAATATATATATGGTTATAAGCTGATAAACCGTCTCTACTCAGTATCGTTGTTCGTATGCAATAACTTATCATTGAATTACAATTTAATACATCCATTACAGTGTCTAACTCAATGTCCAGGTAAGCTACTGCTTCAATTTTCTTCAGTTAAGACCATGGAATATGCCTTTATTTAGTTAATCGTATTATTTATTATTTACATAATATTCACCACTTAAATTATGCATATTTATTATATATGTATTTTAATAATAAGTAGAGTACTGATTATGAAAGCATTTACCTTTTTTTTTCTATTGCTCTAAAACAAAGCTATGTCACTATGTCAGCTACAAATTCGATTTATACTACTATACTACTATGCACGACATTTTATTTTTATTTTTTTTATTTTTTGTATGTTTATGATTTTTTGGCTTTTTGGAGCTTTCATGGGCATTTAGGGAATTTTTGGTACTTTTTTTCAAAATGAGTTCTAAATAAACGTATTTAAAATGTCCATTAAAATTTTTATATTAAATAATGTGTTATCCAATATCGTATATTGTATATGGCTGGCTAAACCGATTTTACTCGTTATGTTTGATTTATGGATACGTTTATCGATGTAATTTAGATACGTATATAGTATATTGTTTATAGTATAATTTTTAACACAAAAATATGCTCTTGCTAGAAAAGGTTAAACAACAAATTAAACAAGCTTAGAGAAGCAGTTACAAAAAAACTTGACGATGTACTAAACAAAAATTCGGGATTTAAAATTCTTACCATAATATCAAATATTCTAAAAGGCGAAAAAATATCA